TGAATCCGAAATATCCAAAAAACAATAAAAGATAGAACAATGGTTCTCGCTTTCATTTTATATGCTGTTTAATGCTCTATCAAACGAAAAAAAAAGCACTTTTATATTTTTTTACGGTTTATGGATGACGCACAAACATGTTTATGGCACAATTAAAACCGAGATTTGAGGGCCTAAAAATGAAAAATCTCGGATTTTCAGATTTTCCTGTCGTTTGTGTCCTAAAAGCGACCTATTACCAAATTTCGGCTTTGGACCTTGTCGGCAAGTACCCTCGAGGTTTTTGAGACGTATATACATACAGATTGAGGTATTTATATAGAAGATATGTCAGTACATTATACATGTGTGCATCTTTAGGCGGGGGTGTGTGTGCATGCAAATGAATGTATGCGTTTGTGTGCGAGTGCATTGGTCCGTGGGAAATATCTAGCAGATATTAAAGGTGCTACTCATAACCCAACTTCATTCACTGTAGCCTCGTACAGTTTAAGGCCTCCTGTCCAACTACGTATGTATGTTGAACTTCTTTCGCACCGTACGAAGCCAACCGAGATAATCGGAGGTGCGGGTGAAGGACAACAAACGAAACACAAAAAACAGTTCTAAAGAAATGAGCTTTCAATCTGGATTTAAGAGCATAGCTCCGGTGGCTGAATTTTCAATCGAGAAATGAGTTTTCAATCTAGATGTAAACCAGTAGTTATTAACCTTTACTGCAGCCTTCGAACCCTTTGGTTTTCAAAAGTTACAAACATGTATAATGTTAATAAATACATCGATTTTATTAAACAAAATAGTTGTATTTACGTCCCCGTTTAATTTGTGTTTCTATGATTTACCTTATAAAAAATATCTGGCCATGTCTCGTACCCCGAGAAAGGGCATCTCGCTACCCCCATGGGATGCGTTCACCCCAGGTTAAAAACCACTGATGTATGGCTCCCTTATGTCGGAAGTGAGAGCATTCCAGACGGCCGCAGAAGCACCTCTTGAAAAAGCGCGCTATGCTGTGACCGTCGTCAAATCTCATCTGCTCTGTCATTGACTCGTTGAAAAAAAGATCTGTAGAGTTCAGTGGGCCTTACTTGGTAAAATAACAAAGTGTCAAGGTACCAGATACGTAAGGTTGCGTTGTTTTGCACAACCTCCAGCGCACACCACTGCAAATCTCTGGCGCCATGCACTGGCGAGGCTGTGTCACTGCACACACCACACAGGGCCTCGCTTTACAGCAATAACGACAGGAGTCGGTCAGTGCCCGTGTACCAGCATTGTGGGATCAGTGCCGGATATCGCAGTAACAAAAGTAGCATATGCTACGGGCCCCGCACTTTCAAGGGCCCCACGCTAAATGCTTTCAAGCTATCAATTCCGATTAAGTGATTATGCACTTGCTCTATTACTATAGTACTATACTGCCTTCAACTTTTATGAACGACTGGGTGTTGAAGGTTAGAGATTTGTCGTATGATCTGGCTGTATAGCAAATGAAAAAGTACACTTACTTTACTATGCACGTTACAAATTTGTGTTTTAATATTTGTTTTTTTTTATTTAGGGCCACTTTTAAACATAGGCTACAGGCCCCGCACGAGCGTAATCCGGCACTGTGTGGGATGGCGTGCTCTCGTCTCAGTTGGCGACCCTGAGTGAATTGATGGAAATGCCACATTCCCATGACAGAGACAAGTTCATCTATAGATTAACCACTGTTGATTGCTCGCAAAGTAGTGGTCGCTTCATCGACACCCCCCCCCCCCCCCCCCACAAAGGGATAATAAACTGTTGAGTTGACCCCAGCCCCCCGCTACCCGAATAGCATTTGCAACCTTATGAACCAACGAACTGTTTAAATCGAAGTGGCATTGGTCGGATATCTATCTATATAAAAAAAATGTCAAAAAATGTCTGTCGGTTGTGGCTTTGTGTGCGTTCGCGGGCTTGCGAAGAATTTGGTTCTCCAACGGTGGGGTTTACGTTAAATAAAAATAGCCAAGTACCATGCCGTAAGCCCCACCGTGAGCAAGCGCTATTCCTTTTTTTACATCCGTCAACTTTTAATAAGTTTAATGAGCGATTTAGTGCGATTTTTTGGCGCTACCTCTTTATTTATTTATTTATGACGCGTGCACGACCATACCAACTCACGCGCCTTTGGTGGGGGGGACGGCCCATGCCAAGTCGCACGCCTTCGGTGGAAGTGAGGGGGACTTTTTCTTTCGCGTTAAAAATGCAAAAAAAATACACTAAACGTTGAGCTTAAATCTTCACTGTGTGATGTCCTCCCCCCCACCCCGATGCACGCAGTTACTAATATATACAGTCGCTAGATGCTACCACTATATGCCGTAGATATTACTTCAGAGTGGCCGGGGAGATCGTGGCTGGGAGAGGGGGGGTCAGGGGTAGCAGCCCAGCCCCAGTCTGCCAAGGTGCCACCTCGGCCGGCTTGACAATCTAGGCGAGACCGGAGGCTCTGCACGGGACTAGGCCTCACCACGCCACTGTCAGGTGAGTACGTTGTGCTATAGAGTCGATAAATACTGCTATAGAGTCAGCATGTACTACTGTAGTGATAGCAGGTACCACCACAGTCAGTACGCGCTGCTGTTAGATTTTTAAGAGTAGTTTTTAAATATTCTTTTTTGGCCCGGGCAACGCCGGGTATATAAGCTAGTATGTAATAAATGCCATATTCTGCGTATTGCAGGACGCTCCGGAAAGTAAGACGTACCCTGTCAGGGGTACGTTCGGTAAAGTCACGTAGAAGGGAAACAATAAAATAATATTGTTTCCCTTCTACGTGACTTTACCGAAAGAACCAAGAATATGAATCCCTGCAGTCACGAAAGCTTTAAATCAAAATTTGTCAGAGTATTGTTTATGTACAGGTGGTCCAGATGTCTTGTGATCCCCAATTAATTAACCAATTTTTTTGTTCCTTTGCATATTTACTCGTTTTTAATCAATCTTTAAATAATATATATAAAGTTTCGGATAATTAAATGGGGGGGGGGGGTGGTTACAATACATCTGCACCACCCTGTGGAGCAGCAGCAAGGTTTTTGGCACGCAACCACCGAAGCACGTGCGTGAGTGGCAACTCGTGTTGATTGAATCAAGGGACTTGATGCAACGCGCCGTGGCTGCGTCGCGTGGAGGAGGCGTTGGGGCAGCCGTTCTTGCGGCGCAGCTGATAAATATAATAGGTACCGTCGTCCTCATTAGTCGAGGTGTCGGAGGGCGGGCGAAGCTGAGGTAAGAAAGAGGGAACTGTGGTCAGAGCTGAATTGGACAAGGAGAGCAGACGCACGCTTTCAGTTTGGCAACTTTGAAGTGACTCATGTGGAAAGTTTTTTTTTTTTCCCCCAGACAAACTATTTCAAAACAAATATTTTACAAGGTAAGGCCCGCTGAGCTATACAGCGCAACGAAGTGGCTTCATCATTTGCATATTTCTATCAGTCAAATACTCTAAATGCATGTTTCTAAATGTGGGCGGAAAACCCGGAGAACCCGGAGATAAATCCACGCGTCCACAAGGAGAAGATGCAAACTCTAAATATACAGGAGTCACGATCTGGATCGAATTCACGACTTCCTGCATACCATACAGTTGCTGAGCACTGCGCGAAAGGCCCAAAACGTCATGCGGCCAGAAACAAACGGTACTCTAAGAACAATAATACTATTTTTCTTCAAGAGCCATTCACGCCAGGCCGTCTCAAGAGTCCTTTACACCTGATTAAAACAAGTTACTGATAAAAAAAAATTGAATTAATGGATTCAAATGGCTTGAAAGAGAAAATAGATAATACATCAACTGCTCCATGGGGGGGGGGGGACGACTAGAGGAGACAGGGGAGGCGGAAGGGGCAATAGGAAGATTGTAATCGATAAGAGTTTGCACGATTCTTGAATTGAGCGAAGGTTATGAGCGCTTGAGAAAACAATGCGGGAGGGAATCCCAAAAAAGGGCAGTACAGGGGTAACCGATCGTGTGGTGGTTGAACACCATGCGTGGGACGGAACAAGTGCCTGGTAGACCGAGTCCTAGCCATGCGTGGAGAGATCACGGAGTGGTCATGGGGAACAGTCACGGTTGTAGTAGCGATAGAAGAGTGATATGGAAGCAACCGACTGCCGGCGGGCAAGTGACTGGAGCCAATCGGTGAATGCAGTGAGGTGTAATCTCCGGACCTTCCGATTCGGCGCGTAATTATTCAACCCCACCGCGATTCAAATTATGGTGAGAACCAGCAGCTCCAGATGGGAACTATTGTATTGTAGTCCAATACATACCCACAAAGGCACACTTGTTCAGTTACACAGCTTGGCTAAGTAGCTTCATAGAGGCATTGGCTGCTTCAAGGTCTGGCAATTTACATTCTGAAAGAGCAGTAAACTCGTAGCAAGTGTATCTTGACCCTGATGACTGCATTCTCACATTTGACATTTGACCAATTATGTTTGCAAACGATATTGTCCTTAAAGTCAGAAGCAGCTACTTAGAACTTTAAGTCTATGCTTCTCCCTCAAGAGCATTGGAATGGCATTCACCTCTACTGGCAGTGCTAAGTCAGCAATGGAAACTCCACATGACGATGACAGGGGTCAATGTATCCACAGCTCAACCACTTTACTTTTCACAAAGTGGGACTCATTTTATATACCTCCCCAGAGAAATAATGGGCTTAATCACCCCCGCCCCCCAATGGTAATTGGCACTGTAACCTTTTGATTGTGAATCAAGCACTAACCATAGTGTAACCCCAACTATATTTTGCAATAAATACAATAAATCACATTTCAGATTCTCATGAGGGGAAATTCTACACATTTATTAACATGGCTACCATACAGTTTGCATTGTTTTTGCGTGCAAAGTTAAAATAATAGTTTCGAGAAGAAAAGCATCTGAGCGATATACCTTATATTTAGGTTCAGCACGTGATTTGAAAACCCCACGTACATTATGACACCGAAGTTGTCGCGTGTGGTGGTATATTTTTTATTGAAGAAAATTAAAGAGCGTTCTTATCGGATAACGTCGAATGAAAAATAGAGATTTTCCCGACACACAATGAAGACTTAATCGACTTTTGTATGCACATTTGCGCGAGGTGCGTATTGTGACCACATATGCAACACCGACAATACTATTGCCTACAAAGAGGAAATAAGCTCGCCCAAATTTGCATCACGTAAAATGTATAACGACAGGCAAGTCCATCATTTTTTTCTGGACAAAAAAAAAACCGTACAGGGTGTCCTTAAAGGTACCATAAATTTAATATACACATATATATTTAGACAGCAGTTTGATGTAGGTCTATACAACTATATAGATGCACAAACTTGGTAGGATTAATATTTTATCGCACAAGTTTTAGGTTCTTATTTCAGCAGGGCCGAAATAAGTTGTAAGGCTCTATTTCGTGGGCATCCTGCGACCGTACAGATGTTATATACAGCGCAGATCCTAGTTAAATCATGTCTTACATAGGTCGCGACGCAAACGGCAAGTATGGGTACACGCTTTACACATTCAAGTTCCATCCGTCGAAAGCTTCACGTGTCCACCATGGCGTTAGTGCCATCAATTGTCAATATTTCAACCACGCAGCCGGAAGCGCTGTCCACTTATAATTAATGTTAATGCAGATCAAATGAAAATGGAAGTGCTTTTGCAGGTGAGGGAAAAAATGTTATGAGATAGCAACACTGTTCAGTCAAATATACCGTGGGTGAATAAGTCCTCTTGTATACTGCCGGGCAATGCTCACCATTTCATATCATAACAGTGACCCCCTTGATCAATTATTCATTTTTTTACAGTGTGGCATTAGGCAATTGAACATGTATATACATTAGAGTTTGAACACAAGTATACAGAAATATGCTATTACACTGAATTTATGGTACGCACATAATCCTACATTTTTTACGACGGTGGTTGGTGCCTTACAAGGGAGATAAGGACAATGTCCACAGCACCACGTGATCAAAAATGTGGTACCCATTGCATTGATCCTAGAGGGATGACGATGTTGGTGATGGACCGAGTCAACCCTGGCTGGGATGTGAACCCCTGGGCTCAAAATTGGGAGCACTCTGCTCGACCGAGATTTATCTGGGTTCACGAAGCAAGGTCACAGAGCAGATAGTCCCAAGCGTCGGGGACTAACGCATTGTAAGCAATGCTATTGTATTTATATTTCCAAAGGTAGGTATTGACAATGACATTCTGTTTTCATTGTGTAGTCGCGTTAGTTAGCTTGTAGCAGTTGTTTACTTATCCTATTTTAAGAAAAAAAAATGGAAAAATAATATAAGCAGCTCGGTTTAGTGTGAGGACATTAGCCAATGCAGACTATGCTATGCAGTTCACAACCATAGTACAGGACTTGACTTTCTATTTCCATGGCCAAACAAACCCGGTATGAAATTATGAGTCTTAATAAAACTAAGTAATCAGACCATGCTACTGTGAAAATAGGTTACTTCTCTCCGGTAATCAGACTAATTAATTTCCTTGAATGCTCCCAACACTGGATACGTGGATCATGCAACACCCTGCTCGCGTCTCAAACCTATGACATGGTAATGGAGGGATCCCCGTCACGCTTATTCGGCACCTGTGCTGCCAAATCCCTTGACATGACCACCGTGAGCCAGTCGGTGCACGCCGCACGCTGCCGACACTGACCTGGCGCAACAGGTCAGTGTCGACAGCGTGGAAGTTACCAGAGTTTCATGTTCAAAGGTCATACCCGGCAAACACATTCAGATAATCTTTTGCCGGCTCAAGGAAACGCAATAGATTTTTTTTTAATGAACTCACTTATACATTTGCTAAATGTGGCCGAACAGTTTGGAATTCATTGAGAATAGTTTAAAATAATACAAATGCATATTATGTGCTGCATTAAACTGGGCCCTCGGATGTTTGCGATGTCATTGGAAGTTACCAGAGTTTCATGTTCAAAGGTCATACCCGGCAAACACATTCAGATAATCTTTTGCCGGCTCAAGGAAACGCAATAGATTTGTTTTAATGAACTCACTTATACATTTTCTAAGTGTGGCCAAACAGTTTGGAATTCATTGAGAATAGTTTAAAATAATACTAATGATTATTATGTGCTGCATTAAACTGGGCCGTCGGATGTTTGCGATGTCATTTTAAGAAGATTGTACACGTTTGTTTTGTAGAGTCTTGCCCTTTAAACAAGGCCAAGAAGTGCAATCAGCGGTGTTCACACAAAGGGAGTGTTATTAAACTCTTGATTTTGTTCTAATCTGAGCATTTGTTCAGAATTAACTCTCCAGTGTAAACACTGATACAGTGCCATGGCCAGGTGATCTCATCTACCCATGTTGGGTTATTATTTTTTCTAACACTTGTCCAGGGCCTCCACTCTTGAACTTCATCGTGCACACTCAAGGTCACATTGCTTGAGTATGATTTCAAGAGGTGCAACATTTATACCCAGGCAATAAAATCAGCTTGAACTAGCCTTAGCAGGTCGTTTTTGGCACGGACTCTAAAATAACATCGGACAAGCGATTGCAGAATTTAATTTGACGATTCTGCCTGCCCAAATAACGGGGCAGCACACATCTCCAATTGGGAGACTCGAGCTAGTGGTGTAAATTCCACATTCCTAAGGCAAAAAGCCATTTTCTCCACAGGACACCTACTGTTAACCTTGGGAGTTTCCTTGACTTGTAATGTTTTATATGTGTTAGATAAGATATTTCAAGAGTTTCCATGTCTTAGGATATTTATTTTTATATGCAAGAGATATTTCCTCGAGACGGGGGTAACACAATTTTCACACCCTACAATAATGCACAGAGAAAGCTAATTCCAGCAAGCATGTAAGAAATATCACGTCAACATTCAAACAACCAATAGCTCACAATGAATGTTTTAACAAATTAATATATTTGACACACGTACGGTTATCAATACACAAGTTATGTTTATTTTTTATTTACAAAAGCCAACAGCCACTTCTTTTTTTCCTCTAGGTAGTCAAAAAAGACCTATATCGTTATAGATGAAGATTGTGTTATAGTTTTACGCAGGCGGTGGATGCATATCGTCTGCTAGTATTGCACTTAAAACGTTTAAGATACAGATTCTCTGAGAGAATCTCAATAGTCAAAGCTAAACATTTGCACAATTACTTAAATCTCTGAATATTCAGGTCACGTTCAAGTATTCTTAACGGAAGGGATGCACATGTGTGCTGTGCACCTTAACATGTATTGCAGTAGCATAGCAGCAAGAGGCAAGGGACATCTGTTGCAGTCTACTTACAGAGGTAATCCACAAATAACGAGTGTCAAGAAGGTATAGAATCAACAACCAGTAGGCTGCAAATGGCAAAATACTCAGAACATTGTTCATTTTGGAGTGACAACATACACCGTAGCGGACTTTAAATAAGAATAAGAGTGTTAGATCGGTTGCCTGGAGCCAGCCGTCATGATTAACACGAATGAGGTTTCGTTTAAAGGAAGACAACCCGTAAGCAAGATAGCTGCTATTTTGTAGCTGCATGCTTGTGCATACAACTGCCACGTGGGGATTACTATCCTCTGGTATTGCCACCAAACCATATCAATTCACTTCTAATCGGACTTCAGGGTCTCCCGATTCATTCACCGCACCTTGCACACATGCACGGTAAGCCACCTGTGTGGCCTCAATGCTGACTCACAGCAAACGCTGAAGGCCATCACCTTCGTTCACAAGGTGTTGCCCCTCTAACTCACGGCAATATCACGATAAGCATCACTAAGCGGGGGGGGGGGGGGGAAGAGAAAATTCATGTTGGTGAATGGAGCTCAGGATCTGTGGAGCTCATAACGGTCACAAATCCACCTCGAACCAGGAAATGGGTTTCTGGGGGGGAGCACTGGCACGTTATTATTCTCACACAAAGTGAATTTCCACTGCTATTCTCACACAAAGTGAATTTCCACTGCAGCACCGCTGCAGACCGACACCCTGCTTTGACATAGAAATTAAACAGAACCCAGTTGTTCATTGGGTTGTGTCATTCGTTAACGAACCTGTTTCTTTCGCACGTTCCAGATTGGACAAGGTCCCTCTCCGATCATGACGACAGGGAACGGTCAATGTGTATGCATTCAAAACGATAAGTTAACAGGAGCTATTGCGAAATATGTAGGATATGCCCTGAGAATTCACAAAAGGCACAACCTCTGTATTTACAAAAACATAAAGGGTGAATGCAAATGGTAGAATTCCTTTCAACATATCCCACTTTTGCCAATTATTTTGTAACTGTTGGGTAAAAATCGACGTCAATTTAGCTATTACTTTTCCAAATGTATAACTTCATGCTGGGATATGCACACAGGCACGTGATTTGTAATCGTCTCACGTTCTGATCAGTTGTGGTTGCCTGCAGTTGAATAGTAAATGCTAAAAAACAACCACAATTTGAATTGAGTTTCTTGATCAACCATTACTTTTATGTTGTTCATTTCAAAACGGTGCATTACATTTTAACTGCAATTTACACGTTTCCTCCGGTAATCGCACATGCTGAATTGAAAAGTTAAAAATGAAATACCTTTACAGTTGATATGTTACAAAACTCAACTGACACGAATACTTCCGTATAAAGAAAACCGATCAGAGTTCTCTAACCAACTCTAACGCCTACTGATGAACTCTGAAAGGTGTCAAACACTGGATGCTTTGAGCAAGATCTACGGTGTCATCATTGGCGTCGTACCTCGCATGAACGGATATCAACAAAACAACACCGTTCATGTAAAAAGATGGCCACACATTCTTAAAATGTACTCGGAAGTGACCTGTGTATACCACTTAATTACTCTCTACGCATCAACAAGCTGTCGGCAAATGTGTCGCTTTTCATATTGGGTTTGCATTGCTCACTGTAACGTGGCGGCGTGTGTCACGCGAGCATACACCGCTCTATACACACACGGCTCTTCCTACATGGTTAACTCAGTATCCAACTCGATACCCACTGTGCAGCCGTACTGGAGATTCACGCTCTTCTGGGACCGACTCCCGATAGGATCACCCCTCTCTTTTCTCTGTCTCTCTTCACGCTTTCCCCTCGCCTCCGTTGTGCACGAAGCTTCGTGGCCGACACCAGCCGTCCTTTCACTCCTGGTGCAGCTTCTCGTGAGTCAGCTGACGTTCGTACTGTCGACACGAGAAGGCAGGCAACAAAAACACTTAAAGCCTTTAACATTCCGTTATAATACGCCGCAGCCCAAACTGAAACATAACTCATGAACTGACGTACCTATTGTTGAAACATGCAAGTGGGCTTGGGCAGAACATTCACCCGAAGGTGTTACGGCTGGCGGTCGAAACTAATGATTGAGTGGCAGCCAATGTAAAGAAGCCGAAAGGACATCCACCAAGGAGATGGGAGTGATGCGATTAGCTTGTGTGCAAGCGCAAGATGAATTATTGTATGGGAGATGGTGGCACCTTGGGAAGCCCTTCATCCAGCAGTGAATTGTAACTCATGGAAATTATGATGACATTGCAAAGATCGCAATCGTTTTTGTTTTTTGCAAACTTAATACAATGAAATGCAACCTGCTTGGTTTCTGATGAGCCCCGACGAGATCGAATGGACACAAGATGTTTTGGTTATAGGCTGTGATCTAATAACACTGGTTTTCTGCACATGACACCAATGTAAACATTGTAAAAACAAATCTGTAATAAATAGAAAACTCACTTCCAATGTTTAAATAATATGTTAAAAAACGACTGACTACATCACCCAGAATGCACTTAATCTCGACAGACCTCCAAACCTATGCAGAGTTGAAGCCTGGGCAGCAGAGGAGCCGTGTCGCAAAATACATTGTTGTACTCTTTTATAGCTCCCATATCTACGCTCCCCACCTGCAACAATCCGCACTCGCCAGCATGGTGAAGTAAAGTATAGTAAAATAACAGCTATGATCGACATGGTATGGGGAGAATCTCATCCAGCAGGGGACTGACAAAAGGGTTATAAATGTTAACGCGTACTAAACAATTCGGAGACCAAGCCAAAACCAATGCAGCAACCAAGCCACTTGAAGAGAATAAAGGACCCAGTAAATGTGCAACTTGGCACGTTTCTGATATTAGGAAGCCACTGATATTCTGATATTAGGTAGCCACTGATATTCTGATATTAGGTAGCCACTGATATTCTGATATTAGGAAGCCACTGATATTCTGATATTAGGAAGCCGCTGATATTCTGATATTAGGAAGCCACTGATATTCTGATATTAGGAAGCCACTGATATTCTGATATTAGGAAGCCACTGATATTCTGATATTAGGAAGCCACTGATATTCTGATATTAGCAAGCCACTAATATTCTGATATTAGGAAGCCACTGATATTCTGATATTAGATAGCCACTGATATTCTGATATTAGGAAGCCACTGATATTCTGATATTAGGAAGCCACTGATATTCTGATATTAGGAAGCCACTGATATTCTGATATTAGGAAGCCACTGATATTCTGATATTAGGAAGCCACTGATATTCTGATATTAGGAAGCCGCTGATATTCTGATATTAGGAAGCCGCTGATATTCTGATATTAGAAAGCCACTGATATTCTGATATTAGGAAGCCACCGATATTCTGATATTAGGAAGCCACCGATATTCTGATATTAGGAAGCCACCGATATTCTGATGTTAGGAAGCCACTGATATTCTGATATTAGGAAGCCACTGATATTCTTATATTAGGAAGCCACTGATATTCTGATATTAGGAAGCCACTGATATTCTGCTATTAGGAAGCCACTGATATTCTGATATTAGGAAGCCACTGATATTCTGATATTAGGAAGCCACTGATATTCTGATATTAGGAAGCCACTGATATTCTGATATTAGGTAGCCACTGATATTCTGATATTAGGAAGCCACTGATATTCTGATATTAGGAAGCCACTGATATTCTGATATTAGGAAGCCACTGATATTCTGATATTAGGAAGCCACTGATATTCTGATATTAGCAAGCCACTGATATTCTGATATTAGGAAGCCACTGATATTCTGATATTAGCAAGCCACTGATATTCTGATATTAGGAAGCCACTGATATTCTGATATTAGGTAGCCACTGATATTCTGATATTAGGAAGCCACTGATATTCTGATATTAGGAAGCCACTGATATTCTGATATTAGGAAGCCCCTGATATTCTGATATTAGGAAGCCGCTGATATTCTGATAATAGGAAGCCACTGATATTCTGATATTAGGAAGCCACTGATATTCTGATATTAGGAAGCCACTGATATTCTGATGTTAGGAAGCCACTGATATTCTGATGTTAGGAAGCCACTGATATTCTGATGTTAGGAAGCCACTGATATTCTGATATTAGGAAGCCACTGATCTTCTGATATTAGGAAGCCACTGATATTATGATATTAGGAAGCCACTGGAGCTATGCACTCTTAAATCTAGATTGAAAACGAATTTATTTTGAGAAGAGGTTTTCCCCTTTTTTCTGGCAATAAAACAGGTGTTAAGATGTTAAAACACCAAACTGAAAATTTTTACAAGGAATCGTGTCTGCATTAACCACAATGCTTACGGTCAGAATGCAAACAAAAAACGTACTCTGATAATATATGCATTGTCTTTGAAACTGATTGGTCCACACCAGTCTCAAAACGGTGTTAGACCAGAGGATGCCAAAAGGCGTACATTTATTTTTGTGTTTAGTTTGTTGTCCTTCCGTCACACATCCGATTTGCACGGTTGGCTACGTACGGTGCGAGGGACGTTTTAACATTTCCACATAAATCTTTAATGGGGAGGGTGTGAAGTGTCACGCATGTGCTTTGTTGTGAAGTTTGGTTTTACCATTGCGAGCTGCCGGCCGATGTTCCCCATTGTGACTCCTCCTGCAAAAAATATACACGGCAGCCAGGAGCGCACGTAGAGGAAGTCTGGGGACGTGTACCTGTCAACAGAGAGAGAGAGAGACCGTGACTAACAGCCACAGTACAGTAAATTGTTATATTGCGTAATTTAAACAGGCAGGGCCCGTTCTAAATTTCGACGCTGCCATGGGATAAACAGGGAGCACACTGGACTTGCAATTCAGAGGTCGGAGGTGTGCTTTGATCTCCGACCATAGCAGTTAAAACAATGGGTAAGTGTACAGAAGATTAACTACCTCTCTCCACCCAGCAGTGTAAATTGATATACCACAGTCAATCAGCAAATGACGAGTGGTGGGGTAAAGAGTGGGTACTGCCACCTCTTTCAAGATATCTGGCCAACATGGAAGAATCCTTTCAAATACCAACATGTGCTCCCTCTAGTGGTAGGCCCTCCAGCCAGCATTGGCGTGAGTAAGCGATTGCAGAGCTTTGCCTTTTATCAGTTTCAATCCACTGATGGATGAAGTCGGCCCCTTGCCATGTTGGACAAGGGGGTTGTTTGACCAGTGCAGGTTGGTGAGCGAGGGGAGATGAACCCAGGACCGGTTCAGATATCACTTGCCACTGGTGTTAGCTATGGCTGGGGATTGAACTCTGGTCGTTTAAAACTAGAACTCAATTAAACTATTTATATTTTATCAGGTAAGATCCGACTGAGCTATATAGCTCGTTTTCAGAAGCAACCTGGCCGCAAATGAGTGCTCAATGAAGTGGCTCATCACGTGGAAATTTCTAGCAGCCTAATAGTCTAGGCACATGTTGCTCCAAAATGTGGAGGGGAAAACCAGAGGGCTCAGAGAAAAAATCCATTCGACCACAGGGAGAACACGCAAACTCAAAATATAAAGGCGTCAGGATCGGGATCAAACCCACAAACCTCCTTCATACCGGGCGAGGGAGTTAACATCTGGCCACCCTTTGCGTCCCCTGACTCGGGTATGGTTCTCCCCCTGTTCTGCATGAGTTTTCTCCGGTTTACATATCACTCAACTGCGATTACACGAAGAAACATCGCCCCCTACTGCAAAAAAACTTGGCAGGACCCCCCCCCCCAACCCAGAGAGCGGAGTCTTGAGACTAAGTGAGGCTTCCTGTGTAAACAATAATAATATAATATAAAATAATATAATATAAAATAATATAATAAAACGAACATGTAAGGGTCAAAAGTACAATAAGACATTACAGTACAATGGATTGTGTAATAAAATGCTGTGTAAAAGCACGTGGTCTTTTTGCGCGTGTGCAATAGGGACTGCTCCTCGACCTCAAGTAAACTCCAGTGAAACCTATAAAGAGGACATTTCATGACCGTGCAATAAAACCAGACACAACTACTCTCCAGTGGAAGGCTAAAGCGAGATAAGTGAAATTGCTGTCTTACATTGTATGCACGTTTCTAGTAAAGTGTATTGCGATATAACACAATGCGCAAGGGCCAGCACTGTCAACGTCTGAAACATGCAAACTTTCGTACGAGAGAAACCCATCTGCATCGTACTCTTGCCCCCTTTATTCAAGTCCAGTCTCAACAGCTTCCCTATTTCCTTTGCTGACGCACTCTTATCGATGAAGTACCTTCAATTGCACATCGCCTCCTAAAAACACACACCTAAGTTTCTCGAGCACCCCTTGATGCACACGTGACTTGAGAAAGTGGTTTCATTTAAACGCCTCATAAATCCAAATCGTTGTAGTAGGTAGAAAATGCAATTGTGTAACACTAACGCACACAATGGGACAGATGTTTTCATCATTTACTCTTCAGAATATGGAGCAAATTACATCCTGCAACATGATCATAGATCACTTTTTTACACAACAACATCGAATGGTATTTGCAAGCGACCCTGTTAGAAGACTTTTCGATTCTTGTTATTTAATTTAAACGTACAGTCCTAATTTTGTGTGGGTCGTGAGGGTTATTTGACCATACATCACCACACTCGTCAGTGGGGAGTTGATGAAAGCAAGGGTGCATAGACGTGGAAGCAAAGAAGTACATTACAATGCACCTTGCTGCAAAGCCCTCTGGCTGCTCACCACATCGCCCCAGAGCCTATACCAGCCTGTTTTATGCATGGTGGCTGTGAAATTCAGAGGGCATATAGCCTTTCAGACCTGATCTGGCTGATGCCAATGGCTCGGCAACAGAAGTTGTAGCAAACAAGATCGCCTCTTGTAGTAGACTACAGGCGCGATGTAACGCAAGGGTTAGATGACGCAAATCCCAAACAAATAAGGCCACTAACTGTTCCCAAGCGTGGAAGACCATAGGTTAACCTAACATTGCTTCGTACATATGCATGCAGGTGTAAATATGCATACACACAAAGGTTATTAAGGCGAGTGATGTTAGCAACCACCGATTAACACCAGAAAACCACAAAAGAGCTGTGTCCAACACCACCTCCAGCTGCCACCGTCTCTCCAAAGTGATGTTGACCAAGCTACACAGGGCAAAGATTTTAGGCTGAGTCGACTTATAAGGCCAAGTCAGGTAGATACAAATTACCAATGATGTGCATGGCTAAGGATATAGTGCTGTAGGTTGATAATGTGGCAGGGTGCACAAATCACGACGCCCATGGTATGCGTGTGGTTCTGAATATACATCACATGCGTAACCACTAGTGCACTGTGCATACAGTCTAGCCAGCTGTCAATACCATCGTAGCACTTGACTCAAAACGGAAAGCCTGCGAGTTTATACAACGGTGGTGGTAAACTGAACCCATCATAAATTAAGCACTAATTTGTGAGACGTGAATTGTGGTGGGCTCATGCTAGCATTGTCCCTGCTATTGGAATGTGGATAATTCCACCGCTGGATGAAAAACACCATCATGAAGACCACTGTCAAGCACAGTTCAAACGATCATCCGAGCAGGAAGATGCTTTGAGTCGATTTGTGTATATACAGTAAGCATAACATTTTCCAAAAAAAGTAGAATTAGACTTTCTACAATACCTCCAGTAATATTCCAATATATCCGTCAACGCAGTTCATTTATGTTGCAATTAACTTTAATTTTGAACTTTTAGTGACATCTACCAGGTCGGCCTTATAAACGAGCTCATTCAAGCACAATTGCCTATCTGGTAATATTAACTCTCCAACTATAAATGGTGTAGGACAGAACTACTATAAAAAAACATCAAGTAGTGATACTAGAAATGTGTACAGCTCCATAACAAAAACAACTAAATTTGTTTTTTGGCCACGTGTATGATAAACAAGTCAGCGGACTGCAGTAGTTCATGGCTCGGGAAGTCAGAGGTTATTGCCCTGGAAGCTCGTAACCTTCACGAGATGGATAACAGTGTACGATCGAGTAGCAAACATCCTGTCACTAAGAATGGGAATTATTATACTCGCAAGCACTAACACCTACCTTTTAATTTGAAATGTAATTATTGCCTGTTATGTCTACAAATGCCTAAAATCTTAATTTTCTCATTATATCGCATATTCACAGGAAATTATAATTGAACATTTAATGTGCAAACGTTAGGTTTGTGTTAATAATTGACAAGAGGCATAGAAAACACTCCACTCTTATCTGGTTTGAGAGGATGAAAACAAGTACTTTGGTTTGGTTATGGGATATTATAACAGATAACGTGGGTATTTTCTGACAGTGATTCTTAACCGGGAAATGGAAGGTCCCCCTTCTGAATAATGGCCATGAGTTAATTGTAGAAATTCCACATTTATATTGCAGGAGGTACCCTCGCCACAGGACCCTTCTACTGATTAATTTAACGTTATACTCACTTTATCAACCCCAGAAGGGTGATGATGAGCTGAATAAAAATTATCAATGATTATATCCATACTTTTAGTCACATAAAAACACACCGACTACATTAGGTTTCCATGACGTTCGATCCAACAAACATTTAAAACTTCCCAAAAAATGTTTACGATCATTAGACACAGCCTTTCAGCTAAATAGGCTCAGTTCTCCCCTCTTATTACATGCTACCTAGGACATAAGAGTGGGGTTAATAGAGAGGAAACGGCCTGAACTGGATTTGCTGTAGCATGCAGTCTAACTTATGCCTGGCTAGTATTATACCTATGAGCAGCGGCATACTAACTTATAAACCAGATTGGAAGTTCCAAATGGTTCCCTTTAAGAAACAAGAGACCACCTGCAGACTTCACAGCACAGCCCCAGCCTGTTTTTAATCGTTAAAGTGAATTACTCGTTAGGTTGAATTCCACCAAAAACTCAGTTGTTCATAATACATCTTTTTTGGGTTAGATTGCGTAAATATATAAATTACTGAACAACTCAGTTGTTCGGTAATGTTTAGCTGGTGGAAAATTCAGTACTTTTGAAGGCAACGATTTGTGGATGGCGTAGACTTGAGAAACTACCCAAACCTGGTGGACTGTGCATTTAGCAAGATATGGCAGTGTAGGAAGTGGGATTTGTGAACCTGTCGATGCAGACATTTGAACATTACCCCCTCTAGGCTCTTCAATAAGCCTCCCACTCCCAATAAACGAAATAAGCCCAACATTTACACTGTTTGTCGAACATGAAAAGGCCATTCTGGACTTGTAAAAAAGACTGGCCCACAATAACAATACAAAGGAGGTGGCCGGTGGCTCAGAGGTCAGCATGCCGAGCTGGCATAACTTAGATCCTGGGTTCGAATCCAGGCACTGATATTAAACTTGGCTTTCAAGTGGAGTGAGATGATGCTCTGAGTCATTTAAATGAATGCACAAAAAGCAATCACATTACATTTAGTTGTGCACTTAATTTGGTTAAATTCCAGCTCTGAGAATTGAAATGAAAATGGTACTATCATGTTTCAAACATCACCGTGATATGCAGAGTAGATGGGAAAGTGCTGCTCCCTACTGTGTTGAACAGATGATGAAATTAAAGGGATCTCAGAGGTAGCTCTGTGAAATCTACTTCTGTGGGCCATTTTCAAACGCAAAGGGTTGGACTCTTCTGCAGAAGTTTCCAAATGTTTTTCTTGTCTCATGACATGG